TAGTTCAGGTCTAGGGTTTGGGCGAACAGTGCCAGCAGCCATATCCCCTGAAAGTCCCTGGATAGTTATCGTATTATATACCCCCTCAACCCCATTCTAATCAATACCTACCTTTACGTAAATTAATTAGCTGATAGTATTACTAGCCAGATTCATGTGAACCTTTATAATGACGGTACGGTAGTATGCTAGACCCGGTTTCTGATGTTCGTTTAGTTTACATATGAACCGTAGTGATACCAGGCAGACCAAACTGCTGCCGTGGTAGCCTTTGGTTTCATCCGTCAGTGAATGCCAAACTGCTAACTGTAGGCCTAATCCCAAAACATCCAAGCCCCTCATTAACCACGCTGAGCAGCAAACCCATGATAGGGAGGCCGCCCGTAACCCCCCAACCTCCTGTACACCCCATAGCCAGAAACACCCAACTCCACAACTGCGAAGCCGACAAACACCCAACACCCTGGAAAGCCCAAACCCGCAAGAAGAGAGCAAAGAACCGCCGAAGCCAAACGCCCAAACAAAAGAAGACCCCGAACTGCGAATATGTTAGTTCCCCAAACCCACCCAAAATGTGCCAGAGCCCTCATCACTATAACCTTGAAAGTCCACAAAGATCCTACAGAATCCTTGGCGCCTACAACCCTCACCTAATCCCTTAAAGCTTCATCCCTTAATCCGCTAAACCCTGAACCCAAAACTCCTGAATCCCAAAACCCAAACCCCCCAAACCCATGTCGTGTTCCAGGCTGAAGCAGAGCGTATCAAGGCAGAGTCGGAGGCGGGCAGTCGTCGGACCGACGACTTGAGGCGTTCTTTCAGGGGCTTCGTACTCCAGTTGCACAGGGTCTAGGGGTTTGGGGTTTGAGGCTTAGGTTTAGGAATAAGGTTTGAGGGTTGCACAGGCTTGGGTGGTTTAGGAATTAGGGGATGTGCTTGACGACTGCGAGGACTCGCACTCAAAACCATTATTCACGAAGAGCTCATAGCAGTCACAGCAACCAAGGCAACTAGTCAACCAGGGTGATCACATCAACCATGCCAGACAACATCACCCTAAACCCTCAACGGAAGCACGGCCGGCACCAGACCTCTCTGATCTTGCCCAGAAGCTTGTGGCGAAGCACAAAGCGAAAGCGGAAGAAGAGATGGCGGAGAAGACCAAGCTGGTCTTGAAGCTGAAGGAGCTGGAGGTGTGAAGCCGAATTTGGGGCTTATTATGGTTTAGATAGGGCTTAGAGTCTAGAGTTTAGGTTTTGGAGTTTAGGGTCCCTTCATTCCCAAAGCTCAAGTGCTGAGATCCAAAGCCCTAAACCGCGCCTCAAACTACGAGTCCCGACCCCCCAGAATTGAATGCTGCAGCCTAAACGTCTCTCTGTTTCTACTTCTTTGGGGTTGCATTGCTGAAGGTGCGAGGAGTGCGAGGAGCGGTGAACAGTGCTTGCGTCGGTTCCTGCCAGCTTGTGAAAAGGGCGGAAGATACCTCTGCAGTTCCTCCGACTTCAGTATGATTCAGAACCTTAGACGCAAAACAAACAACCCTAAACCCAAACCCAAACTACCCTAATCCAAAAGCTTCAAGCCCTTCAAGAACTCAATACACCCAAACCCGAAATCCCTAAACCCCGAAATTCCTAAACCATTAAAATGATGCCAACTCAGAAGTTAGTGCGGAAGTTGCCCTGTTGTTTTTTTGGTGTTGTTTGTTGTCGTCATGGTCCCCGTCGTCGTCTTTGACGCCATCTCTGGCACTTCCCTTGCTGATGATTTAACGGGCACAGTGTTGAAGGTTTAAGATACATGTCTGCGCCACATTCCAAGCATATGCGTATCGATGCAACCTTCCCAAAATAGTATGGAGGCCTGATTATCTACCTATACTGCATTTTGAGGGGGTCCTTATGATAATCATAGTAAAACATACACCGAAACGATATTCTATGTATTAAGGCCGCAAAGTTATGCAGCATCATTGCTCGGTCCCACGTCCGAGTCCGAGGCTTGCACGGAAAGCACGACTTGTCAAGCCAGTCGTAGCAGCGATATCGCTGCTTACCTTTTGACCTGGGAGGTAGGAGCAGTCGTTGATACTGGCATGCTGTTTTGCTAATCGGACCTTAATCAGGATGACAATATGGGAGTTTACGAGAACTGGGGCCTGTAGTATGAGAACAGCGGACCCGAGTGTAGAACCGTAGAAAGATCTTGATGTGAAAGGTACCTTAGTAAACAAGATGTAGTGGTTACGGCGTTTCAGCTTCTTGGGGGTTATGCCATGTCAGGAGCTGGATGTAGCAGGCAATTTTGTCCGTCACTCTGTGGTCAGTATGTTGAACCCGAAACCATAAACCATGAGTCCATGGTTCCTAAACCTTAAACCTCAAACCCTAGCTAAACCCTAAACCCCTAAACCCTAAATTTCCTAAATCCTAAGTCCTTGTTCTTTCTGCCGGCTTGCCCACAGGCGATCGAAGCCATGATCGGCAAAAAGAACGCCAAGCTGCGGCGTCAGAAAAGGTCGGGCAAATCGCCTCGAAAGTAAGGGTTTACGGTTTTAGGGTTCAGGGCTTCGGGTTTAGGGTTTAGGGTTTAAGCTTTAGTAAGGCTTTCCTCGTGAGCATTCGCCAGCGCAGCGTGCCCACTTGGGCGCTTCCACGAAAGCTTTAGCCTTCGACAACCGAACGGCCGTGGCACCACCCTGCAGCCTAAACTCTAATGCCAAAACCCTGAGCCCGAAAGCCAAAGCGCTAGCAGTAACCCTCTTTAGTAATCTTTCGAGAAGCCCTTGTATTCTATCTTTATAACTTATAACACCTTTTCAAAGTAATTAAACCCTATGAGCCCTTCGAAAGGTGGGGGACCCCATCTTCCGAAACCAGAAGTCGTCATGCCTTGGGGTAGGTTTTCGGCTTTCGATTTGAGGGTTTAGGGTTTAGGGTTTGAGTTTTGAGGTTGAGAGTGTAGTATAGTGAGTAGGGTTTAGGCTTGTTCGGGGTCCAGCTTCCTACGAAAAACATGGGTTCGAATACAGAGGTGGGAGTGAGTACCAATGCTATTCTGAGGGTTCCATAATGATCAAGCAGGGTATACTGATAACCCAAAGCCCTATTGATGAAGGCCTCTCTGTTACAGGGTTAGGGAAGCAGGATGGAATGAGTTAGGGCTCAAGCGCAGCGCTGCTTTGATCAGCATTGGATCTGCAGCCAAAGGTGCTGTTCTTAAAGTTTTCAATGAGCAAGGAAGCTTCCTTTTCCTTGCCAATGGTAGATGGTGAAATTCTCGTCCGTGCTGGAGCCATGTCGCGGTGTCGAAAGCGATAGTTATCCGGATGCATGCAGCAGTGTGAATAAGGCTGCCATGTCTTTGTTGCATCTACCTTTGCATGTACCTGTATGCACTCATCACAATTTCACATGTGTCAATGAGAATCCGGCTGTGCAGACATGGTGGCTTTGCGTGCCTGTATCCCCGCAAGTACATCAGCCGACTACGATCTGCAAGCCACAAGAAAGCATGAATCCTAGACGATGAAGCCTCTTTAAAAAGAAGCGTCTCAATTCCACGAGCACGAATCTGTTGCGTGGAGGATTGTAGTGATCCCGGTCAGAATGCTGCATGGCTTTGCCAGTGCTGTGATGATGCTTGTGATGTTGCCTGATGGATGTAGTATAGAGGCCTTAATAATTACCAATACTAGTATAATGTAACCCAAAACCCTATTCTTTTTTGTTGGCCCCCTATGTTACCATGCACGTCCGGAAAGGCTGCAGCTACTGCTATGAGGATCACCAGTGGTTTCAATATCGTGACCTTGTGGACACTTCCAGCAATACCATGGCTGTACCAATTCACTCGCCATGTGGCTTCAAGTCTTCGACGCACGGGACGAGACAGTGTACCTGTACAAATGTTACACCGGCTGCATACGAATCCGAATGGATTGCGTGTGTATCTATCTGTGGGTGCGGTTCTGATCTTCTGGCGAAGCGAGAGAAAAGACAACGATGAAGGGACAGGTGAATGGCTGCCAACGTCGTCCGCACACTGCACATGTTGTGCAAACGACAATGCATGTAGCTTCTTGCGTATTCATTTCCGTCACATTCTGCAGGTGTTAATCGCGTCCCGATGATTTGCCCAGGCCAATATACATTCTAATGTCAGTGCCAGTGCCAAGGATAATTCTCGATGCTATGGTTTGTCTGTCCCAGGCGATGCTGTGTTGGGGCCCAGTGCAGATAGAGTTGACTATACTGTACCCCATACGACCAACTATAGCCCCTAAACTCTAAACCCAAAACCCTATACCCCAAGCACTAAACCCTATGAACCTTAAAGCTGGCACGATGAGACCGCTGCTCCGGGAGCATGCGAAGCTCTACAGCCCATCCCCCAGGATCCTTTTTTCCATCGTCTCATCATTTTTTCCTACTTTTTGTTCATATCAGGTTTTCTGTGGTCATTAATTTTGCAGTTTTGTTCATATAAAACCCAAGATTGTTATTAAGAATATACTGCTTATTATGGTTGTGGTTCTGAGGGGGGGGCTATATTTTCTTGGACCCAAGACCGAAGATGTTCAGGATTGTGGGGGGTGGGTGGGGGGGGGGGGGGCTTTAGGCTTTGGGTTTCAAGGTGTTTGTGGGTTTTCAGGTTCAGGTGTTCGAGTGTTTGAGGGTTTTGAGGTTGTGGCATGATTGCTCTTTGCAGAGTTTAAGGGAGGAGGATCACCGGCAGCAGCCAGTACCGACATGTACCGTCGCATGAAGTGTACGGAGCGCATAAGAATGTTTGTGCTCAGAACCGTGACATGGCGCATGAACGAACGGCGCTTCTGGTGCTTGTTTGTTCTATGCTTTGGGCGTCGGCAGCCTTATTCCAATCCCTAAATAGCTTTCGGTTTTAGGTTGAACCCTGCACCCTAAACCTTAAACCCCTAAACCCCGAATCCTAAACCCTAAACCCTAAATCCTAAACCGTTGGGAAGAGATGCAGCTGAGGCCTTTTTGCTTGGTCGATGCAGCTCGGAGTGGCTGGGTTCCAACCTAAGCTGCTCTCTTCCATGAGGATTCAGGTGTTCCCAACGCTTGCCCCAATTTGGAGCGATAGCCCCCCCTTAATGGGATCGCTTACCTAAGGGTACTTAGAAATAATTTTTAGTTTTTGGTTATTATAATCCCTAAGAAACAGCTAAATTTCAATGCTTGCTAGGGTTCTAAGTTCAGTATAGATAGGAGAAGACTCCCAGAACCCGGATGTCCACTGCCTCCGGGGGGACCTCTGAACCCGAAGGTCAGACCCTCGACCCTACTTGGAGGATCATGGGACTTAGTAAATAAGGTTATAAGTACCTTAATTGGAGTTATAAGTATAGTTACCCTAATTATAGCCGTAGTTACTAAGTCCCATGATCCTTTAAGTAGACCCGCAGAGTCCACTGCCCCAAGAAGGCCAGAACTCACGGACTGTAGACCCTAAGCCGTAAAGCATCCTGAACCCGAAACCTTCAACCATAAACCTCAAACTTTGAACTCTGAACCTTAAACCCTCTAGACTGCCGTTTAAGGACCTGCCCGAATCAGTGGCACGTCTTCCAGGGCCGCTGCTATCGGGCCTTCGAAGGGGCGGCGGATTGGGATCAGGCGCTTCTGTAGGGTTTAGGGTATAGGGTTAGTGTTTAGGGAAAGGATCTAGGAGGGTTGATCAAGGATCACTAGGGGTCGATAACGGTAAGGGATCTGTGAGGTTTCGGGCTTAGGGCCTTTATGCTATTGGTTTTGGTGTAAGGTGGGGTTCAGGTTCCGGGCTGCTTGCATGTATCAGCATCACCTCGCACACATGAAGACAATGAGCACCCCTGAACCGTTATGCTTTGCAATATTTTTTGCCTGATTGCCAGCGCATCCCATGCCCAGCATGAGTTGACCCCGGCGCGCAGAACACGATTAAACAGCAAGCAAGCAATGGGTTCAGCAGCTCAGCTTGACGACAGCCCACTTGTCACAACTATAGTCTAGAGTCTAGGGTTTCGACGCGTCTTGAACCCAAAACCCTAAATCGTTGGCCAGAGGCCAGATGCCTGAAATAACATGGAACACACGACCCCACTACACAAGCACGCCCCCTATATCGGCGGTTGAACGATTGCTTGCGTGGGGCCCCATTTGTTTCGTGGTTGGGTTTTTGGTGCTAACACTTCACTTCAAGACCCCCTTTCTCCTTATGCTTGTCGTCTGTGGCATTGGAAGCATCGTCTGACTGTAGCAGCACATCGCGGACGAGGTTCTCCGAGTGAGTGATCTGCCGCTTGTTGTGACAAGTCACGGAGCAGGTTCTCCGAGTGATCAGTTCTCCCGTGAGTCTAGCACCCTTGTAAATTGCAATACACACTGCAAAACCTGCATCCTTAAATCCCTAAGCCCCGAATCCCGAAACCCTAAACCCCTAACCCCTAAACCTCCCCTAAACCCCAAAACCCTCATTCCTAAATCATAATGATATACTTGGAAGGGCAGGGGACTTAGTAAGTAGGTTATAAGTAGAGTTATAAGTACCCCAAATGGAGTTACCCCAATTATAACCCTACTTATAAGCTACTTACTAAGTCCCCTGCCCTTCCAAGTACTGGTCCTACTGAATCCTGCAACCCCACATCCCTACGACCCAGAGTAAGCCCTTGTCCCTTTTTTTAGGGTTCAGGTTCCCTTAAAATCCCCTTAAACCAAAAAAGAGTAGGTCTAGATCCCGTCATCTCCAGGCCAAAGCCGCCTGTGAAAGCTACGGTGCGACGTTGGCGTCGATTCACAGCGAGGCAAAGTTCTTTCAGGGCTTTGGGTTTAGGATTTACCTTAACCCCGAAGAACCTACATTTTTGAGGACTTATATAAAGAAATCATAGTAAGGAACCCTAAAAAGGTAGGTTATTCAGGGTTAAGGTAGGGTTTAGGAGGGCTTGGGTGTTTTGTCAGTTGTCAGGGTTTTGGGGTTTATGCGCTTTGGGGTTGGGTTTTCCAGTTTTAGGGTTGGGTGTTCGTTTGCCAAGGGCTTGAGTTGTAGGGGCCTTTGTAGGGGTTCCGCTTCATAGGGTTGTTTAATGGCTCAAGAAAAAGGCTTCTACCGGCTTTGTTTGATTCGGGTTTCTCAAGGGCTGCTGAAAGGGCTTTAGAAGCGGTTCAAGAGACCTTGATTCATGGTTTGGGTCCATAGTCCAGTGCTTTCGGATTGGAGCTTACGGCTTAGCGTGTTCAGTTTTTTGGGCTCAGGGCAAAGCATGGAGAGCTCAGAGTCTGGAGGTTGGATTACGGATCTAAGGAATGTGAGGTGTAGGGGTCATGGGGCTTAGAAGTAAAGGCTAGTGAGGCTAGTGGTTGAGGGGTTTTGAGATTCAGGGTTTAAGAGCTTGGGGCTTGTGCTTGCGACTCCGGATGGAAGCGCTGTCGGTTCAGGGAGACATTCCAACAGCTGTTGATTTGGCTCTGGGCCATTCAAACGAAGCCTGTAAATCCCAGATTTTCAGCATAAACAGTCAGGATGCGTTTGATGGCTCGTTTGAATGATGGAGGCTTAGAATTCAAAGTTTCAGAATGTTGGGGTTTTGGCGCGTCAGGGTGGGGGGAACTTGGCTTTCCTGGTTCGCACGAAACCCTGCTCCAAGGAGGACTCAGAGTTCAGGGTTTTGCGCGAAGCTGGAAGGATGTAGAGCCATCGGCGAAAGACCTCTTAAGGTGCAGGATGTTTGGGGGCGCTTAGGTTTACTGCTGGCGTTTCGAAACGCTGAAGTCTTGGTCAACGAAATCGTCACCACAGGGCTTTGAGAACTCTATCGCAGCCAGGATGGCCACGGCAGTCATATAACATAGCCATGCCTAGCCCGAAAGACGAAGCCTTCAACCCGAAACCCTAAGCCCTACACTAAACCCTAAGCACTCTACACGCTAAACACAAAACCCTAAACCCTGAACTCTGACTCGTTCAGTCGGGAACCAAGCCGCCAAAACCAGAGCCAATAGGCGGAGAATGATCACTGCATCTTCGCCTGTGGCAATGTGAGGCCCTCCACACAGCTGGTTGAAGGGTAAGGGTGCAGGCACCGGAATGGTTCAAAGTGGAGGGTTTAGGCTTGATAGGCTCTAGACTCTAGAGTTTAGGGTGGGGCGGGGCAGGAAACTTTACCTGCCCATTCGGCAAAGAAATGCCTGATGTCGTGTCAGCCCGAAGCCCTCAGCCACAGTGCCACAATGCTAGTTGCTGCTTGTTGGGGAGCTGATTGCAACCTTTGGTGTGAATGCAGTGTGTGGGGCTTGCAGGTCTAGAGGCCAAGCACAGTGCTCTTTTCAAGTTCAACTCCCCCCTTATTGGCTGGAACCTATGCAGGGGCATCCAACGTTCGCGGGCTGCGGCTTCTTGAAGGATCTGAGAAAAGAGCGAGCAAGAGAGAGAGGGAGAGAGAGAAAGAGAGAGAGACAGAGAGCGAGAGAGCGAGAGAGAGAGCCTTGGATGCATCCACAAGCGTAACTCTAAACCCGACACATCCCCATATTCTAACCTTTAGCTGGGCAAGTCTGGGCTCCAAACCTAATCCGCAGATGGGGATGGCTAATCAGCAAATGATGGCTGGCAACATGCAGTTTCATTCAAAAGTCAGCTGCTTTGTTGTATATAAATCTTAGGCCCGAAACCTTGACCCCTGACGACCCCCAAGCGGCAACTCGGGCTTCGGGACTGGACTGCCGCTTCCCAGGCCATTCCACCAAGGATGTTGGATTGGTGGGCCTGGCCCGAGTTGCAAGTTGCCGGGGCTTTTGTTACAGGGATTTGTAGATCTGATGGGGTTGAGGGTCTAGTGGTGAGGTGTTTAGGGTGTAGGGTTTGAGGGCTACTGACTTATAAGGGCTTCTCAGCATTGTATAGGTCCAGTTTTGCCAATCGACAGAGCATTGGATCAGTATTTGCACATGCTGTTTCCGGTTAGCTACGACATGGCACTGTCAGATGGCAGGTGCCCAGACCTTCCAAAATCCCTTAATTAAGGAATATCCCTTAAAGTATAGTAGGATCCTTAATATGATTTAAGGTATATTCCTTAATTAAGGGATTTTGGAAGGTCTGGGTGCTGTCGTTGAGGTTTCAAAATCGGCCAGGGTGCCGGGGTTGTCGAATCTTTATGGATCGAAGAAGGTCAATGTGAGCAGAAACCGCAAGTATCAGGAAATCGTACATCGTGAACCCTAAACCCCTTCTAAACCTCAAGCTGCGGCTAAGGGGGCACGAAGGTCCGAAGTTTCGAAGTCTGAACACTGTGATTACGCGGGGTTCTTTCATACGCTGACATCCTAAACGCTCCTAGATCTTCCCAGTACTTGGAAGGGCAGGGGACTTAGTACATAGCTTATAAGTAGAATTATAATTGGGGTAACTCCATTTGGGGTACTTATAACTCTACTTATAACCTACTTACTAAGTCCCCTGATCTTCCCAGTAGGTTTGAAGTTTTACGAGAAATGCAGAGTTGACTAGGTTTTCTAGCGAAATACAGGTTTGAATGAATAGGTTTTGAGAGAACTACAGAGTAGAATAGGTTTTATGGTCAATACAGGGTTGAATAAGTTTTATATCGAAGTTTTGATTGCAGGCAGCCGAGCAAGTGGAGCAGAAGCCGGAGACAAAAGCATCGCCTAACAATCCACCGCTGCAAGCTTTCGACTTTCGATTCGAACGACCCTGCTGGCATTGCGGGGCTCATCAGCAAGCTGTTCCGCGAGAAGGAATTGAAGCCTGCAATCGGCTCCGTGAAAGACTTCGACTTGGTTGTGAAAGCTTTCACAAGTTGGTTGCAAGCTTCCAAGCCCAGGAAAATATCTCTCGCCCAGTATTTCAGATCGGTATCGTTGAACAAAAGAGACTTGAAGAGTGCAAAGCACCGCATAGAGTGGTATGTTGCATGGCAGAAGGAGATCCGCCAGCGCTTTGTGATGGGTTCTTCCGTACTAAAGAAGTGAGCAGGGCGGAGCCGGGTGTCCAAAACCAGCGACGCAATGGCAGACTCCATCATCTTCTACGCAGGGTAGGAGTTGAAAAGGGGTGCGACGAAGTCTGCTCCCCATCAGCTCAGCTTCTGTATGTTTCGGCCGTTGAATAACAAGTTTTCTAGGGAAGTACAGGAATGAATAGGGGACTTGAATAGGTCTTCTAGCAAAATACAGGGTCGAATAGGTTTTATGGGGAAATACAGGGTTGAATCGGTTTTCCGGCGAAATACACGGTTGAATAGTTTTATGGGAAAATACAGAGTTGAGTAGGTTTCATGGGAAATACAGGGTTGTTGAAACCCACATTCGGACCATGTGCAACGGGGGTTTTGCGATTGCTGATGTAATGGGCACGAATACCTGCGGCACGCGGCCTTTCTACTCATGTCGTTACATGGGGTTTTGTGATGCGACTACACGCAGATCGAGGCGTGCACTTGGGGATGTTGTGAGTAAACGCATGCTGATGTGACTTAATTAACCCCGCTCCACGTAGGGTTTTTCGTGAAGCCCTCCTCACCTGTACAGCACGAAATTTAGCCGGACACCATCTCCAGCTAAGCATACAACCCTCTATAAACAGTTAGTATCCAATTCGTCAGACATCAGAATCAGGCAACCTCTGCGCTGTTGGAGTTCGTGGGCGGCATGACCACAGCAACGGTTTCGGATGGTTTAGGGTTTTCATATTGGAGTTTAGGCTTATGGGACCAGTTCCAGTGTTCTGGTAACATGCCTCTCACTATTGCAATGGGTAGAACTTGGAGGTCCTGCGCCAACAGAACAAGAAAACCCCGTAAGCCCGAAATCCTAAGACACCCTAAGACCATGAAGTTCTAAACAGAGAAGAAGCCCGAAGGCTTTTAGCATCCCAAATGTCCGCAGCCCTGAACTTCAAACCTAGACGCCGACAAGATACCAGGTGGCACTGATCGCCATCCGAGGAAGCGCAACGTATGGGTCTGGGTGCAGAGCTCGGTGGGGGTCTTTGATGGATTCGTACAAAGTATCTCCAACACAACAGGATAAAGTGTCTAGCTTGGCTTAAGATTCCCGTGCCGGAGCTTGGAGGGTTGTGGCGTGAGGATTTACGGATTCAAGCTGAGGGTTTAGTTCAGGGTTTTAGGGAATTTTAGGATCAGACCCTAAACTTTCAAGGGTTATAAATGGCAAAAACACCTTTAAACCCTAAGCACTATAAACCCAAAAACCCTAAACCTTTGTTTTGCCAATCTCCTCCTACCTGAAGACACAAGCTTCTATGCCTCAGGAGCCTTAATTATGAAGCATTTTGGGGACTGTTGGATTTGACACCTAGTAAACCCTGAAATCAAAGTTAACGAGAAGGATGCAGCAGGGGTTTCGATTCAGAGCCGTTCTGTTGAGCATTTTTGTGTACGGAATGTGTTTTGGATGCTGCGTCAACTGCTGCTTCGCCAGTCTCCTACCTGCCTGAAGACACAAACTTCTACGCCTTTCCCGAAGCCCGAATCCCACACCCTCAACGCTCTAAACCTTAAACCCTATAAACCCTAAACCCTAAGCCGCCCGAGCCCGAACTCCGAACTCAGGTTCGCAGCCTTCGCACGTTGCCCTGAAGATCAAAATGTAGATCCCATCATACGACTTTAGTAGTTTAGGGTTGATAGGGTTTGGGTGTCTGGGGGTTCAGGTTTTCAGTGCCAACAGAATGAAGAAGAACATGTGCACGTTCTTTATCCCGAAAAAGAGCAGCAAACCCAGGTCGATGGCAGCCCCTTCCAGTGGAGTAAGTGGTTCGATCACGGCGGCGGGTGCGCGTCCCAAGCCCCACAGTTGAAAAACAGGTTTAGGTTGTGGCATAAAAACTCTGGATCCACAAACTCCCTTTGTTTAAAGGCCTTAATGCTAGCCGTAGTAAGTGAGGGATTTCATTAAGCAGGGGGTTCTCGTCAGGTTCGTTGGCTTATGAGGTTTCTAGGGCTGAGGACACAGAATGCCTCTTTTGGGGATGAAGGGCTGTAGGGCACCACTCAGAGCCAACGAAGGCCCTTCGATGCTACGAATAATCCGGGCCCTCGGCCCCTGGAACCTGAAACCCGAAGGGTCTCCTTTCGGATCATGCCCGGGCCAAAGTGGAATGTGTCTGACTCGCTCGGCTTTGGTTGCTGTCCACATCCTGGGAGTTGGCACAGGTGTTGGAGTCGTTTTTTGTCTTCCAGTGACCTTCTTCTTCAGGGGTCTAGTAGGGGTGTAGGGGGTGCTTGCTTGAGCGTTGAAGGCTCCTGGGATGTAAGAGCAACCCAACTTTGCCAAGTTCGAAGGCCTCTAGGCCTTATTGAGGGAGTTCTGGATCCCGGTACAGGTTAAGACAATAACGTGCACGCACCAAAATCCGGCAAGCTGCCGCCACAACCCTGGGCGCGGGGGCAGGAATGTGGAGCCCAACAACGACTTCTGCACGGATCACCGGCACTGCAGCAGACTCAGACAACACTCTGCAGAATTCCATAAAGCTCGAGATTTTTTGGGAGCACGGTTTGCTGAGCATCCGAAGCTGCCAAGGATTCAGTGAGGTGTTTCGGGGAGATAACGCATCTGCTTGGCAAACTTTGTCACGTCCGCAGTATCACAATCGGTGTACTTGATCCTTCTATGGTCTCAATATGTCTCCATGGTTTCTTGTGCAACAGGCTCAACGCCATGCCTAGTTGTAAAGGTTTGGGACTGAAGGTTGGGAACGGCTAGGGTCCAGGGGATCGGGGCTCAGGGTTTGCAGTCTGAAAGTACCAGTTTAGGGTCGCCTGCAGGTCTTCAGAGTTTCCTCCAGGATTTGCAGAAACCGTGGGTGAAGGTGTCTACCCTCGTGTCAACCGAGATGCTGTGAGTCGGTACATGAGTAGTTCTTCTCCAACGCGTGTACGATGGGTTATCCCAAATTACCATGGTTTTATGGCTTCGGTGCGATCGGTTTGCGGTTGTTTGCGATTGTATGCAGTACAGTATTGCTAGGTAATTATTGCTGTTGGCGGTGCATTGCGGCTCGATACTCCCCCCAAAATAATTCCACCGGCCAGTCACACCCACGGTGGCTGGTGGCAGGTGTTTGGTGGCTGGTGCTTGTATCGTCTTTGAACCCCGATACTACGATGCGGTGTCGGTTTATGAGGTGTACTTCTGCGATGGGGGTACGGTTCAAGACGATCTCGGTTGGATGTCGATATAGGTATTGTTGCAACGCCCGTGATTGCTTGAAGTTCAAGTTCAATGACTATCCCGCTGCTGCCCGTCATGCAAGGCAGGTATGGGCACACTGCAGACTGCAACGTTTTGGAGGCTGCGTGTTCATATGTTTGGGCAGGTGCAAGTCGTTTCTTCCGTGACAGGAAGGATCGGTGAGTAGCCTAGTTTTCTATTCGGCCATTCTGAAGGGCCTACCAGGGTGCAGACAAGGCCTGCTGACCGACATTGCCAGCACAAAGGACTGCAGCAAAATCTGCGAAATTCAGGAAGGCTGGATTTAGTTGCTTGGAAGCCTCAATCCTGTCTGCCGTGCATCCGAAGCTCTCGACTCCGTCCTAGACCCTGAACCAAAACCCTACATTGTACCTTAACGGCGAGCTCTAGATTAAGTTCGGGATGTTATTTCATGCTTCTGAGTGCATCAGAGCTTGCAGTCAAACCACAATGCTTCCCTGCGGCTTCCGCGTTCTCAGGGTTGCAAGTTTTGGCCAGTGGCTTTATAGCCATCGTGGTTACAGTCAATGCCAGCGTGCAGTATTTTCAGATCTCCAACCGCTGCGACTCGAGGGTTTGGGGCTTGTGCAAATCAGTTCCGCAACCGGGTTTAGGCTTAATTTATAATGTAGGGTGGTTTTGGCTTGACTGAATTCAACACTACCTTGTAGACAGTATCTTGAAACCTATAACCTCTGGAGGACAAACCCTGTGTCCTTGACCCATCGTCCTCCCAACCCAGACACAACCATTCTAGAGTTCCGTGGTGTGTCAAGGGGTCTTGCTCATAAGGTCTTAAGGGTTTTACAGATGGTTACACGTGTTCTGAACGCTTCCAAGACAAAAGCCAAAACCCCTTCGCGCTCCGGGAGGTTTCCAAGCCCTTCAAGGGATATTGGCTTGACACCTTCTGCACGGACCGGCAGAAGTTCATTTGCAAGGTCGGCATCGAAGGGGAGTTTTTGTTCAACTCACGGGCATACGGTGTAGGCCCATAAACCCTAAAACCCTTACTTCTAAACCCTAAACCCTAAAACGTGCTGTTTTTGAGCTATTCGGTTGAAGTGTTGTCGGAACCATGGGCTTTGGGTCCGTGATGTCCCGTGAGCATCTAGTCAGGGTTTGGGCTACTCAGCTTGCGCTTTGGGGTTTAGGGTTTAGGGATCTGGGTTTCGGGCTTACGGTGGAGAACTGTGGAAAGCAAAACGTATTTTCCATATTTTGTCTGTGCCAAAAACGGTGAACTTTGTCTGTTGAAGCAGAGTCGAGATGAACTCAAGGCAGGAATGCCTGGATCCAGGAAAAGGGTTGATCAGGTTCAGGATCCCGCATGATCCTTCATGCCACCTCCTTAAAACCCGGAGGATCATGACCCAAACCCTACGCCCAAGATACCTATACTTAAGGTTGCTTACATGTAGCTTCGAACCTTACTTCCTAAGTCCCACGGTCCTCCAACTAGGCCCTAAGCCCTTGAATTTTCGCGCTGTGATGTGGGCAGGTCGATGATTCAGACGCCGCTCAGAAGGCAGCCTCCGCCGCAACAGAGGCGGTCAAGAGTTCCTGGGCGTAACGGTTTAGGGTTTAGGATTCAGGGTTTTAGGGTTTAGGGGTAACGCCAGAAAGCCGAAACCCAATAAGAACTCATACAACCAAAAGGAATACATGCAAAGCACCGGTGGTGGAGCCTCATGGCTTTTGGGTCTGTCGTATTGGTCTCGAGGACTTGTGTCAGGGTTTTGGGGTTTTGGGATCAGGGTTCAGGGTTTCAGGTGTTGGGTCTAAGGTTTAGGGTGTAGGCTGGTGGTTTAACATCAAGGAGTCTAAGCCCTAAACCCCTATCTATAGTGGCCGAGGGGTTCACAGCTAAGTGTGTTCCGCAAGGGCCATCGCGCGCTCCGTCAATAGCCGGTGAGGGTGTGAAGTTCGCACACCACGAGCCGATACAAGACCGCCCCAAACTGTAAAATGGCACCAAATCCAAACGCCCCAAGTCTGATCCCCCCACTCCACCCTCCCGCTGTTCAAAGCCGTGATGGACCAACGTGCAGAAAGCAGTCATCAGTGTACCACGTGACCATTGCCTGCTTGTAACACACGAGCCATAAGCCCCAGTCCAGCTTTCGAATCCAGGTCGGCAACCTCGCTTTGCTGTTGCCGAACGAATCGTTTTGACCAGCCATAAACATTATAAGCCCCAAGCCATGAGCCCTGAATCCAATATCCTGACCATAACACCCGAAAACCAAAAAAAAGACCGAGCTACACGAATCCACCCTTGCGAGTATGTGGAGCTCCTCTGCCAGAGGCCTGGGAGGACGTCCCTCGCAAAGTCAATGCGCCGCTGCCATCACCTCCAAGGCACATGATGGCAATGTAGAAGCCGGCAGAACTATTACTACCAGTCCTTAGGTTAGGGTTCCTTCATGTAAGTTCATACTTTCGTAGACCCCGAAACGGGATCAAATGACAGATTGCTGCAGATATATCTGAGCAAGGGACAGGCATGACAACTAGCAGAGCAGCCCAGTTTTCATTGCAACTGCCGCAGCCACGGCGCCCCAGCACCAGCATCACCAGGACCAGCATCACCAGGACCAGGATCATGACCAGCACCAGCACCAGAACAATACCACCGCCGCCGCCACCACCATCATCGCCACCACCACCACCACCACCCCACCACCACCACCCACCACCACCACCAACCACCACCCCACCACCCACCACCACCACCACCACACCACCACCACCACCACCACCACCACCACCACCACCACCACCACCACCACCACCACCACCACCACCACCACCACCACCCCCACCCCCACCACCCCCACCCCCACCCCCACCACCCCCACCCCCACCACCCCCACGCCCACCCCCACCACCCCCACCCCCACCCCCACCACCACCACCACCGCCACCACCACCCCCACCGCCACCGCCACCCCCACCGCCACCGCCACCCCCACCGCCACCGCCACCGCCACCGCCACCAGTACCGCCACCATTACCACTACCATTACCACAATCGCCACATAATTGTCGGCAGCATCATCTCCATCGTCATCGTCGCCGTCATCACCAACACCAGCACCAACACCATCACCATCACCATCATCACCATGATCTTCGACATCGTCATCATCGCCATCAACATCATCATCAGTGTCATATTCACCACCATCATCTTCGCCATCGCCATCACTCTCACCACAGTTACGACTATCAGCATCACCATCATAATCATATCCTATCATTCATCAGAATCGTCCTCTTCATCGCCGCTCCTCCACGACCACCATCATCAGCATCATCACCGTCACGCTCACCAACACCTCGACCATCACCACCATCATCGTCATCATCACCACCAGCATCAACGCCATTATCATCAGCATCATCATCACCAACATCGGCAACACCCACCGCCATCGCCACCACCCTCGTCATCATCCATGATCACCATCATCATCATCGTCATCATCATCACCATATTACCATCGCCATCATCATCATCATCATCATCAAAGCCTCGCCGGCACAAACTTTCGTATCCGAGTATCCAGTGATGCTTTCGGTTCAGTTTCTGCTGGCGACGGCAGTGGCAATGCCGGTACTGTTCAATCTGTGAGCGCGGATGTTAATTGTGTACTCAATTTTGTAGTTGGTACCAGCTTGCAGACACGGATACCTCTCTTTGGTGATGATGATTGCGGCTATGACTATGCTGATGGTGACGACCATGATGCTGTTTGTACTGGTGGTGATGACTATGCTGAAGAAGATGATGCGACAATCATTCCTGCCATTGTCAAGGAGTCTGTACTATGCGAGCTTCAATACTTGCCAATACAATTGTGGGGGGGGGGGGGGGGGTGCTTATTATATTTAGTATTATGGGCCCCTGAACCTATTCTAGCTGTTAAGGCCCCTGTATTAGAATGCATGGATGAAGATCGGCGAACCACCCTCCGCACTTATTGGTTTTTGAAGATGTAGCCAGAGCCTGTGAATCGGAGGTCGATACAACGGGGTTTCCGAGGGTCTTCTCTTGCAGTGATTTCTGCATGGCGACAAGTGAGGTAGAAGAGATAAGCCAGACCCCTCAACCCAAAACCCTAAGCCCAAAACCCTAAACCCAAAACCCTAAAACCAAAACCCTGAACCCAAAACCCTAAACCCTAAGCCCAAAACCCTAAACCCAAAACCCTACATAAACCCCGTGACCAAAGCCCCGAAAGTCGAAGCTCTGAGAATGCTGCGACCCCGTTCCCGCCCTCTTCGCCAAACTAGGAAAAATCCCCACAGAGATGGGTTTTGGGTTTAGGACATGCCGAGTCCTCTCCTCCCAAACCCTATGACTTGAAAAAGTTTCAATCCCAAGTCGTAAGCCAATCGAAAGCTCGGGCAATCGCAAGACTCGTTGTAGGCCTGCGGTACCAGACCCTTCGTGCGCAGCCAAGGGGCACACTATAGGGTTGAGTGGTTTAGGTGCACGGGTTGCAGGGTGAAGACTAGGGTTTAGGCCTTAGAAGGTTTAGGGTGTAGGGTTCAGTTTGGTTTAGGATGGGGATCTTGGGTAATTAGCGAGCTTCTGTGGAAGTGCCTTTCGGGTCTCGGCGTTGTTTCTATTGGGCTGAGGGCTTTGTGTTGGAGAGTGTGTGGGAATCATACAATACAGCTGACCTTGAAACTTATGATTACCATTTCCTTCGCCGTCATGCGCAGTTCCTTATTTGTCACTGTTGTCAGTCTCTGAAAGGTTTTGTTCTTCTTCAGTCTCTTCAATGGTTGCGGAGCATTTTTGAGAAGACACTACGACACTACGATTCCAACAGCTCGTATCTTTGAACAGGAGCAGTACTGGTTCATATTCTTGTTCTCATGAATTGTGAAAACTGTCTGAGCAGCTGTAGTCGCTGTAGCCTTCTAGTAGGAAGAGGGTCCGCAGCAACAGCAGGAGTAGGACGGTTCGGCAATAGTTGTGACTGTCGTTGTACTAGGAGTCGTAGTGGTGTAGTAGTGGTAGCGATAGCGGTAGTGGTAGCGGTAGTAGTAGTAGTAGTAGAAGTCGTCGTTGTCGTAGTGGGGGTGGTCCCCTTACCTTCTTGCTTTCTCCAAACTGAGGTCTCCGAAGCTGGCATCGCCTCCGCTTCCGGCACCGCCCCCGCCAGTGCCGGTACCACCGGTGCCGGTACCACCACCGCAGCCATCACCACCAACACAGGAAGCCTCACCTGCAGCACCTGAAGCACCTGCGCCAACAGAGACCTCGCTACCGTCTTCTGCTTCAGCTCCGGGGCAGGTGGAGAAACCTGCGATAGAACCGGTAGAGCAAGTGAAGCCTGTGGGGGACAGCGCCAATCCTGAAGGCGGGAACTGGCACACGTGCGTCATCGATCCTTCCACTCGAGCCGAACCCTTCTCATGATCTTCAGACCGCTAATTTGGGTAACTAGGTTCCCTATAATAAAAGAGTAATTAGAGCGCTCTTAGAATCAGAAGCCCAAAGAGTATCGTATCTCAGAGAGCCCCTTCCCCACGCATATCAGCCATTCAGGCGATCCAGAAGAGGACTACCCGGACGAGATCTACCAGTAGCTGCTCTCTTGTGCGCGACGCGCGGCCGTGCACGAATCAGCACGGATCAATATGGCGAGATTCCTGATGAGGGCGGAGTCCCCAAGTCCGGCAGTATGCCGATCCTGAGTGGATCTTTCACCTGCAGAGTTTGACGTTTGCGCCGCTACAGTTCAACCAGAGCCTGGAGGGCATGCGACTACCCAGCAGCCTGCAGAGTTTGTCGTTTGGCGACGAGTTCAACCAGAGCCTGAAGAGCATCCAACTACCCAGCAGCCAGTTTGACGTTTGGCGCCATGTTCGACCAGAGCTTGAAGGGCATCCGACTACCCCGCAGCCTGCAGAGTTTGACGTTTGGCGAGAGTTTCAACCAAAGCTTGGAGGGCATCCGACTACCCCGCAGCCTGCAGAGTTTGACGTTTGGCGAGAGTTTCCACCAAAGCTTGGAGGGCATCCGACTACCCCGCAGCCTGCAGAGTTTGACGTTGGCGAGAGTTTCAACCAAAGCTTGGAGGGCATCCGACTACCCCGCAGCCTGCAGAGTTTGACGTTTGGCGAGGGTTTCCACCAAAGCTTGGAGGGCATCCGACTACCCCGCAGCCTGCAGAGTTTGACGTTTGGCGAGAGTTTCAACCAAAACTTGAGGAGCATCCAACTGCCCAGCAGCCATCGTGTTCTGAAGCCTGAGGCGCGACCGCTTCCGGGGCATTGATGGAAGTGCGTATTATCGCTATGTCTTATGTCTTATGGGAGTTCTCAGAGATCATTCCGCTCGGCTTTGTCGAACAACTTGCGGATCTCTGTGACTGCTCGAGTTTGGCTTAGTGGGAGATTGCAATCGGTCTTGCTCCGGCATGCGAGGATTTGGAAAGCTGACGGATCCAACACTCGTTCTGGAGGCTCGCCCACCAGCGTGCGCCTCTCCAGACCGAGGTTTCATCCAAGTGCAGACGCTGGCTTACAGTTTTGCAGCCGTGCGAGATTTAGACTTCGGCCTCCCGCCGATGATGCACATAAGGAAGGTCACGTCCAGGCAAAGCATGGGCCTGATGAGCCGTTCATCCGAAGACGTTTCCAACAGAAGACTGAAGATCCGACGGGGGTTTTGTTCAGGCGTGGGTGTCCCTCAAAAGTGTGGGCAGTTGCCTGCGGCTTGCGGCTCTTGCTTGGGCTGTAAATTCGTTAAAGTGCCGTGCTTTGTGCTCCGAAACCTGTGACAGCGATGGTCTTTGCAGCGACAACTCCCTCTTTCCTTCGTGTCGCCGGGCCTATGTTGAAGCTCGCTTGCTTCTGGCTCAGTCCAGTTTTAGTAGTAGTGACTAGGATGATGAGGACTTTGGCTAGCAAGGTAGTGACATTTTTTTTTGCAAGTTTTAGCCGCAGAATCTCGGCTAGCCTACAGTACTCGCACACTCCAAGAGCTTACGAAGCAAACCTTAGATCCCTTAGCCGCAGCCCCACGCTCGCAGGTTGAAGTCCTGAGCTCGAAGGCACTATCCAAAGGCCCCTAAGTAGTTCCTTTTTGGGGTTCATATATAGAATCCTGTAGGGCGATCCCCAAAAGGAACTACTTTGGGGCCTCTGGGTGTCCTTGTGGTTCCGACTTTTCGGCATTCGCCATGAAAGCGCCCGCCATGGCGTTCTTCGGCTTTGTTCTTTGCTGGGCGGTCTCACGGGGGCAGGTCACATGGGGCCCGCAGCCGATGTACATGTCGGAAGCCTGGCGTCAGTGAGCTGAGGGTTTGCTTTAACCCCAAACAACCTACCTTGTTAAGGACTTGTTATATATAGAAATCATATTCGGGAACCAATAAAAGAAGGTGATTAGGTTTATTTGGGGTGCAGGTAGGGTTCAGGTGGCTTTGAGACCTGGGGTTCTCGGGGGACACTTGTTAAGGGTTCTGGCTGGAGTCTGGAGAGTACAACGCTTGGAGTTCAGGATGTGAGATACGGAAGTGATCCGAGTTTCATAAAGGTCGGAGTATCGTCGAATAGTTAGATCTGTAGGGTACAGACCCGAAACCCTCAACACAACACCTGCCCCAAAGCAGGAGGCCCGAATCTAGATACGTTTTGGGTTTCGTTTCCATTCGGAGGTCCTGATGGAATTCACAGTCAGTCCTAGGTCCAAAATAAAACCCAAACAGACCGCGAACCCCTCAAACCCTTGTGGGTTTAGGGGTTTAGTTTTGGGAACACCGAATCCCGAACCCTAGCAAACCCTTGAGCTCTTGAGTTCATGAGGAGACAGACGACTTCAGCAACCAGCAAAGGCTGTACGAGCTGCTGAGGCAGGCCTACTTCACTGCAGCTTGGGCAGCAGATCCTGAAACCTGAACCCTAGACCCTCGAGGCCCTCTGACCTGAACCGCAAACCCTAGATCCTAATCTCGAAGCTTATACGGTTCTTATCTTTAAATCTCCAAACTCAATCCCCATATCCTTAGGCCTAAAGTCTCCACTTGAACAATGCACCGAATACCGTTGAAAGTGAACAGGATTACACGGCCCAGCATCAGCAGCACCGGCTGGCTCCTGCGATGGCTGCAGAGCTGGCAGAGTTCCAGCAGAAGGCTCGATGCCAAAGCACGATTGCACAAAGCAAGTCCGAATACTCAGGGTAGGGTTCCGGGGTGTACATCGCGGAGTAGTGCATTATAGTTTGAGTCGATCCTCTCCCCATTAATGACTAAATAATAGGATTTAAATAAAACTACCCTGTAAAAAAAGCACAAGAAAATACTTCCACTTGGGTCTATTTAGGGGTGACACTTCTGAAAAGCATGATTTAGGGACGACGAAGGAAGAGGGAGGAGGCAGCAGGGAAGAGGGAGGAGGAGGAGGAGGAGGACACAGCGACGAGAAGAGAGTACAATCATATACTATCTATTCAAGCCTCTATGTCAGATCCCTGAAAAATATACCCTAAACCCTGAAAACTAAACCCTGCACCCTAAACCCCTAAAGCCTAATTAAGCCCTACACTACACCCGAAACCCGAGAACCCCCTCGTAGGCCATGGCTTCCCCAGCCCTGGCACTGGCCGTGGCGATGGGGCATCTCGGCCGGGGCACAGAAGAGGTTGGGTTTAGGGCTTAGGGCCTTTGGATTTAAAAAGAGGTTTACAAGCTTATATTACTTTAGGGGTTTATAGTTTATAGGGGGTTTAGGGGTTTGGGGCTTAAGGCTTTAGGGGTGTAGGGTTTAGGGTTTTTGGGGCTTACTACTGTTGATGATATATACATCCTGCATTACCTTGAGGACCCTAAACTATGGGAACTATGGTATATTCCTTATTATGGGTAAAGCAGGATTTAGATCATCAGCCGTATTTAGTGGGGTTTTAAGTTTTAGGGGTTTAGAGGTTTAAGGGTTCAGGGATTTAGTGGTGGTGTAGGGGTTTGGAGATTTTTTGGGGTTTGGGGTCTAGGGTCTGGGATTTAGGGTTCAGGGCTTGGTGCAGCTCTTGGTGTCGAGATCCTTCAATCCAAGGGTCAAAGGAGGGACCCTTAATAAGGACCCCTAGGTATATGTGTATATATATATATATACCCTTAATATAGCTATTATATACCCATTATATAGCCCATTATAGGGACCCAGGGGTCCCCATTAAGGGTCCCTCCTTGTCCCCTTTGATTCAAGGGTTCCCCAAAAGGAACTACTTTGGGGCCTTTGGGTACATGGTGTTCTTGTCCGTTAGGGTTTCAACTGGCTTTCGGGTTTCATTTTTCAAGTTTAGGATTCAGTAAACCCGCAACCGGTGCACAGGAAGTATCACTTCGCTTGGTACCGTGAGGGGGCGAAGGACACTGCCTCACTCACTGATCGCAAGGTGTTTGGCTGCAGCTAGCCGTGTGCCAACTCGCATGGAAACCCAGTGCATGCAGAATGTGTGGAGATTTCCGCAGGTCGATGTGATACTTGTTTCGTTAGGGGCCTGACTGCGACACTGCACTTCTAGAAGAAGGACGTAAGCAATGTGTGTGCCAATGCATATACGGCAAAGTAACAGCTGGACCGGCAATACAGACGCTGCACTTTCATGGTAAACCTTAAGCCCCAAACATGTACCGCAAGAAGTTGTGATAACGACCGGGCCAGCCATCCTACCGCTTCTCGTACGGCTCTGCACGCTATAGCCCCTAAAGCACAAAGCCTCAATCCTAAACACGAAACGACTAAGCCGAATGTGACGAAATGATGTCAAAGACTCCATGAGCGGTATCCGGCCAGGAGATGGATGTTGACAGCATCCGAGATGCATCAGAGCTTATGGCGCTCAGTATCCAGCCGTGCACTGAGAGATGGATTCTTGTGATTATTCTCGAGGTCTATTGTTATTGTTGCCACCACCACCACAACAACAACTACTACTACTACTCCTACTACTTACTAATACCACCACGACGACTACTCCCACTGCTGCTGCTGCTGCTGCTGCTGCTGCTGCTGCTCCCTGGTCCTGGTCCGGGTCCTGCTGCTGCTGCTGGCGCCTCCTGCTGCGAATGCTACTATGCGACGACAATGACAACGACGACGATGACGATCGCAGGGAACTTGGTGCGGACAGGACAAGACATTCAGAGGCCTGAGCAGCGGCGACTACTGGCAACGGTTATGATGTTTAGGGTTTAGGCTAGCGACTCTGGCAATAGTGGCAGAATCGTGCCGAGGTGTAGTCAGTGCGACAGAGCCGACTTGTCCGTCGAGGTCTTCTTCCAGCGCATGTGTCCCTTGGAAACGGAATTCAGTGCTGGGGGTATCTGTAAGTCTTACAGAATCCGGGAATCTAGGGCATGGGGCATGGGGCTGCAGAAGACTTGGGGCTTACGGCCGAGATGCGATTTCCAGCGCTCGTTGCACTGCAGCCTTGTCATGTGCACACTACTTGGCTTCAATTCTCAACCTGCGTACGGCTGATGACATAGATCCTGCATTACCTTATATAATGACCCTAGGCGGTGGGTTGTTGGTAATGCAGGATTTATATCATCAACCGCGACTCCACGATCGTCAAAACTGGAGCCTGAGAACCGTCGGCCGCTTTTGAATCAGGCTTAAAGGGTTCCTGTTAAAGGGGTCTAGAAGGCTTCTATAATATAGCGGCCTTGATAGTTCGAACTGGGTTTTGGGGCCCATTGTGTACTTTAGTTGTGATAATAAGGAGCCGCCCTCAATATAGTATAGGTAAACTTTAAGGCCCCTATAGTACTCGAGCTTTCGGTAACCCCAAGGCCATGCCCGATGGCCATATGCCGTTCTCCTCTTCAGCGAGCTTGGCAGGGAGTTTGCCTCCAGGCGGGGCCTACTATGCTAATCAGACAAACCTTAACGGTCCATGTGCTCATATAACATACTTTGGCCCTTAAGTACCTATAGCCATGAGTACATGCTATATGGCTATATGGGCACATGGAGCCTCATGGTAACAACACCAACAACAGTTGAGGATATTCGGCTTGGGGTTTATGGGGTTCCCTCTGAGCCACAAAACCTAATCAAACTGATCGCCGTAGCCAACCCCAAACGCTAAACCTCTGAGCCCGAAAGCGTTAAGCCCTACCCGGACGCTCCTTGTACCTATAGTACATAGTCAGCCCTTACAAGGGTTCCTCTCGAGGTACATGGAGCCTTCGGGCTAAAACGCATTGGCCGCGAAAACGCTAAGTCCTAAACTCCTTCTGCTGGCAGGTATTTGACAGAGCAGGCGGCGGACACACTAGAGAGGCCCGGAGACGAATTCAAGCTGCTTTCAGGGATACTAGAAGAGCTACTCCCAGATCTACGAGAGGGTTTTTCGGAAGTTCAGGTTCAGAGTTTTAGCCTTTAGCTGTTTGGGGCTTGAGGGTTTGATGCGCCAGTGCTTCGGTTGTCGTTCTTTGCCCCAAATAGTCCATGAGCTCGGAGCCATAAACCCCAAAGCATCCGAACGCTACACAGCCTTCTCCCTAGCTCCCTTAGATATTCGAGGTCAGGCTCGTGTTGCATATGAAGCCGATTACGGTTGCAGGAGTCGGTTCTGTTTTTCTCAGAGGTTCGCTACATCTGGGCTTGTTGCTGAGCAGTGGTAAGGATGATGCTGCGTACCCTGAACCCTAAACCCCACGCCACTTCAGGGCGGTTGCCACTTTCGACGCCATGAAGCGCTTGCCGTACTACTCCCGGATCTCCACGTGGCAGGGTCCCTACGACGTCAACTTCAATGAGGACAGGCTCGTCTCGTCAAGCCCAACTCCGAAACTCAAAAAGCCCGACCCCCAAAATCCGGAACCCTAAAGCCTTGAACCCTCAGGGCTTAATATCAGGGCCTAAACGATTACCTATACTATTTTGGGGTTCCTTATTATGGTTGTAGTATAATGTTTTTTACGGCCCCCACATCAAGCTTTCGGTCCTGCAGAGCTTTGACTTCAAGCGCCCCTTGCCACGAGGAATGGTTTCCGGGGGCGGCTGCTGTGGGCCCGATCTGGGACAAGGCCTCTGCTGGGCACCCAGGAGCCAGCTCAAACAATGATAGCCTTAGGACTGTTAGACTATGCTTTCGGTATATTAGTATACTATATTGTATTATATTGTAACTATAATATGGAAGCCTAACGGAATAACACATTCATCTTCATTATACAGGCTTCCAGATTAGCTACGGCTTGGAGTAGGGTTTGGGTTTAGGATCACAGGGTCGAGGATTTTGGATTTAGGGGTCTGGGGTTTACTCATGTTCTGTTGACATGTTCGCTTCTGATACTTTGCTATGCCGGCATGGCCCGGGCATGGTCATGGTGAGACAATGATGCTGGCAATCGTGGTGGGGGGTGGGGGTGAATACTGGCGATGACGATCAAGGGACTTTCGATGCATCAGAAGTTCCCAATCCGATCCATTGTTTAAATCCGAAACCTGCACCAGGCCGTACAGCACAAAGTCCACATCCTAATCCTGCACCATAAACCGCAGCCCAAGTCCCAACAAACAAAACCCTGAAAACCCGCGGGAGCAACGAGTCGAACCAAGAACGTCCCCAAACCCTAGACCCTACCCTGCACTCTAGACCCTGAGCCCTAAAACCCCGAAACTTCTAAACCCCTAAAGCCCTAACTTAAATCCTAAACATCTAGACCCGAACCCCTAAACCCCTTAAATCCTAAACCCCTAGACCCGAAAGCCCCACTCAGGTGCCTTTGGCCCAGTTCTTGGAGAATAACTTCGAGATGCTCCGATCCGAGCTGCTTCCACTAGCCGAGGCCCAATTGAGCGTTGCCGGTAAGATGGGGTACTATATGGGAGTTTCCGAAAATAGGGGACCCTAATATAGTACCCTAAAGAGTAGGATCCTTATTTTTCGGACCCCGAAATGAGGTACCCCAAATTTTCGGAAACTCCCATATAGGGCTTCCGTCAAAAAGGGATCAGGGCTTGGGGCTTAATGCTCTAGGGTGTGGGATGTAGCGCAACGGATTTGATTAGAATTGGAGCTCAGGGCACGTGGGTTTGGAGCTTCTCAGGCCTTTCGTTTTTTTTGCATCGGGTTGCGGGATTGTAGGCCTATCCCATCACCTGCATCTTGTCCGCGATTAACCTGAGCACAGTCCCTGGATGGCCTTCCACGTCATTTATCCCTTATTCGCGGTGCCCTTAGAGCAGGAAGCCCCTCTGTCTCGCTCGTTCACCCTCTCACTCTTTCTCTCCCGCTCACCTTAGATTACGGTGCTTCGTTTCACTATGCTGTATTGTAACTGGACCCTAAACCCGAAACCCTACATCATCAACGGTCTGCCCCCACTGGGGCTCTCCACGCTTTACTGAAGGGTGGAAAAAGGTAAAAACCTACCCAATCGACGAGGATGCTGGACGTTTTGACGAGCTGGCGTTCGAGAACTCGCGAGTGGAGGCCCAAAGCTCCGTGGATTCATACGTTTAGGATTGATTCAGTCTCGAGGGTTTGGGTTGTCGACACTTACGCATCAGTGAATCGGGGCCGCCCTCATTGTGGTTTGACATTTTTCACATACTCCATTCATATAAGAGCAAACGCTTGACATGCTGTTGTTGCGACGATTCTGCTAGCTCAACCGGCTGAACCCTAAACTTCAACACCCCAACCATAAACCCGAACTCCAATGCCGTTCGGGAATCTTTTCAGGATAGATCAGGATCAGTACATGTTGTTCTTTGATTACAGGGCAGCAACGGGCTCTGTATGCACGCATGCAGATATGCTGATATGCACGTCTGCATGCATACTGCATGTTCGGATGTATGGAAGTACGGGTGTATGCATGTATTGATATATGCATAGAGGTATGCAAGACTGTGCATACAGGGCTATCTCAATCTATGTATACATATCCTACACATCCGTACTACGTGATGGTACGCCGCCTTCGCTATTTTCCAGATCATGGTTTCTTCTTCGCAATTCGCGTTGTTCTGTCCTGAAGCATGGAACCACTGCTTTAATCACACAAAGTCTTTCTTTCGGTATACATAATAATTACACATGCACTTAAATGGGTGTGCGTGCTGTTCCATATGATCTGGTTCAATACGTGCACTATGAGTAGGTGCTGTCCCTTGCTGAAAATGCTCCGCGACCGTTGCACTTTGAGACATGGTGGAACCAGATATAGGCAACGGACCATCAGATCTCAGTAGATTTTTCTTACATTGGTAAAGCCTGATCGCATTGCTGCGGGCTGCTGCAAGATATGATGGGGCTTTGGAGACTTTCCGGCAGAAAGGTTTGTAGTTGAGGGTTTTTGCATACATGCAATACATGTCTTAAGGAAAGGATATCATGTACCGAAAGGTCTGAGTGTCTCAGAGTGCATGGCATTGTTCAACCGCCAGTAGGTACGTCCGTGGACAGGTAGGTGTTTAGCTTTGTAGACATACATAATAAGAATATAGGTATATGCTCTATGTGTGACTATATGCGAACCTGCTTCTGTTCGCGACAAGAGTTACTTTGGCATGCAACTGCATACAGACGTATATATATATATATATATATATATATATGTATATATATATATATATATATATATATATATTATGTACAAACAAAAAAGTCCCCTGGGCGTGTGCGTTTTGGGTGGGTTTATGCCTACTCCGAATCGAGACTAGCACACACCATAGCAACAATTCCAACATAGCCAAAGATGACTATATATACATATTATATATGTATGTAACGGGTATATAGCTAGATCGATAGATAGATAGATAGATGGTATGCACATGTAGATACACAGGTTGTTTGTGCTTGCTATGTACATATAAACGCACGTTAACTGTGACACCTCAGCGCGGTCAGGGACAAGATTCCTGGCCAGAGGGTGCGTGGCGCGCTTTGCAGCAGCTTGGCGGGTCTGGGTTTCGTGGGATAGCTCGCGGTTTTCCAAAATTAGAGGGTTTTTAATTGGGGATAGTTCTAAGAAGGGGTTTTGCTATTATATAGCTTAATTGTGTATCAGTATTTACATGTTTTTCTGATGTGTTCTTTGATCTGTGAATGGGGGGTCGGTTCTGGATAACCTACGCTGTAAACCATCAACCCGAAAAGGTAATTTCATCCACCGGGAGGAGTGCTCAGCACCATAGCAAACATGCCTCAGTTGTGGTGACATTCAGAATGTGACAAGCCCTGCGAAAGGAGCCGGTGAAGCAAACAATCAATCCGCAACCGTGAACTCTAAACCCTTCAGGGTTTAGAGTGAGTGACTTGGAATTTTGTCAGCAGAAGGGACTCAACCGTTGGCGATTCCGTGCCATTGCAGGCGCCAGTCAGGTAGACTTCAACAACGAACCGTAGCAAGGAATAGTACTGCCACGTAGTAGTCAACCTAGAACGGAGATGCAGCAGATGCATTCTTTCAGATCCCATGGAGGCTGACCGAGAAGCCCGACGTCCCAAGGTTCAGGGTGAGCCAGACACCTCCAACCCCAATATAGCCCCAGAAGCGAAGGATACTTCGTAAACAGCATAAGAAGAAGCAAAAGCTGTAACCCCCCAAACCCTAGCAAAAGAGTAAGTTATGACCCCACAAATACAGGGTACAACTCCTAGAACAGTAGGTATTTCTTATTCCCAGGTGATGGTAATACAGTAGATTGAACCTAAACCCCAAACCCCAAACCATAAACCCAAAACTAAACCCCGAGCTCCAAACCCTGACCCCAAACCCCTAAAGCCTGAAATGTTTAGGGTTTTTAGGGTTTAGGGTTTAGGGTTTAGGGGTACATTGCGAGGCTGACCTCCTCTGCGCAGCCTTGGTCCACGCGCGCCTGCAGTCAGCTACCCCGGAGCGCCCGAAGCAGGGCTCTGGGCTTCAAAGGGCTTTGGGAGTTTCCGAAAATAGGGGACCTGACTATAGTACCTTGCATAGTAGGATCCTTATGATAAGGACCCCAAAATAAGGTATCCCTGATGTCAGAAACTCTCATTTAGGGCTTCAAGGGTGTAGGGTTTTGAGGGCTCGGGGGTCTAAGGCTTTAGGGCTTTGAGGGTCTAAGGGTTTAGATTCAGGGCCTTGAGGGTTTAGGGGTTTGGGGCTTTGAGGGCTCAGGGTGTTGAGGGTTTCGAAGCTGTTAAGAGGCTTTCAGGTTGAGTATTTTGGGTTGTGGGTTCAGGGGTGAAGGGTGCAGGAGGTGAGTCACTAGGATACCCTGTCACCCCAAAACCTATGAGCCACCAAATCCCCGAAACTTTATGCTATCGTGCTTTAAAGGCCTGAATAGCGTCTTGGGTATGTTATCAGAAAAAGGAACTCTACGGAACATATTATAGCAGTTTACCGACCCCTATGCGAAACATGGATTCCCGACGCCGAAACCCTACCCAAAGGCCCCAAAGTAGTTCCTTTTTGGGGTTCATATATAGAATCCTATAGGGCAATCCCCGAAAGGAACTACTTTGGGGCCTCTGGGCAGACCCCCTTAGCGCTACGAGCAGGACCTGCGCGCTGCTGTCGAGTCGACCAGAGCTGTCGGGATGCGCCAATGCCGGCGCGTCGTTGGTGAGGCACCTTCATGAGTAGAATAGGGTTTGGGGGATATTGTCGTACAAGTATGGAAGGGCTGTAAGAGATCATGAATTGTATGTTCAGGGGTTTCGTATGGTTATTGGGATGATGATGGTGATGATGATGTCGGTGACGAAGTTGAATCTCGAAACCCCGCAACATAATCCCCCCGCCCTAAACTTAAACCCTGAATGGCTGAATGATGATGGCGACCACGCTAGGTTGTGTTGTCTATCTATGGCAGGGTCTCGAGATCAGAACCTGTTTGGGGTTGGCTGTTGTAGGTTCAGGGGTATTGAGCTTATTGCTTCCAAGAGAACTTGGGAAACCACCAGCAACTTACCAGCTTGAGCTGAGATAATTGGGGCGGTTTAGGGCAGAAACCTCTCCAAACTCGTGGAAAGCTTGAACTGCCCACTTGGGCTTCCAAGCAGAGCACTTAGCAGATCATGGGGCAAAGTACGTAGGGTGTAGGAAAGGTGACGATACGCAGAATTCAATCAAGCTCAAGCTTCCATCGTAAATAATATACCCTAAATACAAAACCCTACGCCCTCAAGCCTAAACACTGAAACCGAACCCGAAGCCTAACCTCCTAAGCCCTCAACCAGTGAACCTTGAACCCTCAGCCCTAAACCCCCTAAATCCTCAACCCTGAACCCTGAACCCTCATCCGTGAACCCCTAAATGGGGGTTTCCGAAAATAGGGGACCCTAATATAGTACCCTATATAGTAGGATCCCTGTTATCAGGACCCCCAAAACAAGGTACCCCTAGTTTTCGGAAACTCCCAAAAGCCCAAAACCGTAAACCCTAGACCCTAAACCCCAAACCTCCAGCAGGCTGCGCCCCGGGGGACGCCTTAAGCCTCAGTTCGGATCCTCAGCTGCAGTGGCCGGATTTTCTGTGGGCTTTCTCAGGGGTTCGGGTCTACCCAAAGGCCCCAAAGTAGTTCCTTTTTGGGGTTCATGTATAGAATCCTATAGGGCAATCCCCAAAAGGAACTACGTTGGGGCCTCTGGGTCTAGAGTGTAGGTGCAGCCGGAAGGGGCTTCGGGTTTGGTATGAAGAGGAAGGATTCAACCGGGCTCTTTTGACTCCTTTCCCAGCAAGCTGCGTCCGCGTATGCCCCACCTGTGCCCCAGGACTATAAGCCCCAAAACCCTGAACTTTAAACCTCAAGCCTCAAACTCTGTAAGCTCTCAACCCTAAGCCCCTAAGATCTGAAAGCCCTAAGCCCTTGGCCCTCAACCTCTCAACCGTAAACTCCATGACGACCTGAAAACCCTGGGCTCTACCCCTTGAAACCAAAAAGCCAAAATCCCAATTTAGCCCTGCCTTTAAGGTGCCGCACCGAAGCTTCAGTGCCACCTCGCCATCCGGGCAGACGTGGGCGCCCGGATGAGCGTAGGGAACAGGAGCCCGTCCGATAGGGAGTTCGAGGGCTTTCTGGGTTTGTCGACTTTAAAGTATCGCACAGAATTTTAGCTTGGTTTCAGGCTTCGGCGTTCCGGTGCGGAAGGAGGTTCGTGAATCGGGCTGTTGCCAGACGGAGTTTTTGGGAGGGTTAGGTCAAAGTGGTCGAGAGGCTGGCGTTCATCTCGACATGCTACACGTGCACAGAGCCGAAACACTGGAATTCCTGACCCGTCCTCGCTTTCATTGGTGACGGTTGATCAGGCCTTTCACACGAAGCCCGTAATCCCAAGAGGCTACCATGCAGAGAGCCCACGCCCTTCCCTTTTTTTCTGGCTCCGAACCCGAAAGCCCAAGCTTTGGCATTTCGAGCCCTAATCCCCATTGCAGGACCTTGGCGTGGCGTACTGGAGAGGCCATGGTCATCGATAGCACCTTCATCAGACAGGCCAGAGAAGCCCTGGTGCCCGAACATCAAAACCCCAAACTTCCAATGGGAGTTTCAAGAAAGAGGAGCGCTCATACAGCTCCGAAATCGCAGGTTTCTTCACAATGACCCCCAATGTTAAGTACCCCCCCTCCATGTCCGATAGTATGGTGGTCGGATGGCTTAGTTAATGTCCCCTCACCCCTCATGTAATTTTGCTATAGTCTTGCCCCAAGAAGCCTGCTTAATTCAAGCCCCTTCTTCCCCTCGTAGTCCCTCATGTTGCCATGGTGTACGAAGCTTGTTGAAGTTAAAACCCAAGTAGCAACCTTTGCAGAACTCTTTGAGGGAACCCTCTTCTAACTATTGAGGTCCCAACCTGGGCTGTGAAGGCCCTTTTGCTGTTAAATACTTCAAACCCAGAGTTCAGGAGTGGCACAATGGTGTCCGAGGAGAAAGCTACGTCCTGCAGGCCAGGGTCTGTTTGCTCTTTCAGGCTTGTGGGTTTAGGGTTTCAATTTCACTTGGGAGCTCATATCAGCCTGAGGATTGCCGTTTTCGCATTTGTGGCTTGTTCTGGTCCTTGGGGGTTCTGGGTTTATGGTTTAGGTGGGTTACCACATAACGACCCGCGCTTTGCGCTTTTATGGTTTAGAATTTCAGGTGAAGGCGGGTAGGGTTAGGGTTTTGGCATTGGGAATTCACCATTAAAGGGCTCAGGCTTGCAAGACTTGTTTCTGGGCTTGGCGTGTAGGTTCTAGTCAAAACAAGACCCAAGCTATTAACCTCCAGAAAGGTTACCTGGAGGATCATGGGTTTAAAAGTGTCATAGCCAGGCTTCTAAGTAGATATGGCTACAGTTACCTTATGCTTGTTATCCTACTTACAGAGCCCCGTACTCCTCTAAGTAGTAGAAGACCGTAATTTCAATTTCCAAAGCCGACCCAGAGAATTTTGAAGTTCTAACTTAACCCGGGCTTAGAGCTCCGAATGGGCTTCATCAGATGCAAGGCCGAACCTTAAAACCCCAGAATCCAATGGCCCCCGAAGCCCGAAATCTTGCACCCCCCCCCAAGTCCTTGACCTTGAGATTTAAGAGTTTAGGGGTTAGGGGTTTCAATGGTTAACGTTTATCCTAGTTTCGGTAGGTTTGCATTTTGAGGGTTCCGCACCTTGAGAAGAAAAGTGCCCGGCTCAGGTGACTTTCTGCCACCCCTGCGAGGAGGCCCAGCTAGCAAACTACCCTGGTCAGCTGCCTTGTGGCGCGAGGCTTTCCAAGGGACGGGCGGGGGCTGAACCCGAATCGCATTTAAGGAAGTGCAGGTTGAGGCTTACATTGTTGAAGTCCTAAGGTTATGGCGGTTGCTGACTTCTTATATGCTGGACTATTGCGTGCGTGCGCCAGACCAAAAAAGCACCAGATCCTTCAAGCCCCAAACCATAAATGCTCGGTCCTCAGCCCTAAAGCGTAAACTCGAGCCCTAATCAAAAGGAAACCTCAAAATATGGTAGCCCTGAAGAGAACCAATATGCTTTGAAGAAACCCTGTGAACCCTCAAGAGAATCCCTAAAGGAACCTTAGAAAACCTTAAGGAAGCCCTTAACAGGAGCACCCCCTAAAGGAGCCAGTAAAAGGAAATCTGGGTGTTTGGGGCTGGCCAGGCCGGCGGCGAGCCCGAGCAGTGCGCAGAGACCGGCAGTGGCTATCCAGGAAGCTCGCACTTGGGACGTAGGGCTTAGAGTTGAATATAGGGGCTTTAATTTAATAATCACGTATACTATTTTGGGGGTTCCTTATGATAATTATCGTACAATATACCCCAAAACCCTATTCGAAATGTTAAGTCCCCTATAGTAGGTGGGTTTAGGGCTTGGTACTTAGGGTTGATGCGTCAGGCTTCGGGCTCAGTGTTTTGAGTTGAGGGTTGAGGATACCGGGTCCAGGACTTGTGGTTCAGGTATCTGGTATAAGTTCTGAGCATTGAAATAAGGGGGGGCAATTATTAGGATGTTTTTGGGTTGAGGCTTTTAGAACTTAAAGCTCGTGTTAACCCGGGATCTTCTAGTTCTAAATCTGTAATTCGACATGCGTAAACCTCAAACCCTGCCGCTTCTGCCTCCTATTCTGTAAACAAGAGCACCTTATACAACCGCTTATAGCCACCTTATCAAAATCTTCAGAAAACCCGACAGAACCTGGCAACACTGCAGCCCCCTAGCCTTAAACACATCACTAAACCCCTGCACCCCCAAAAAATCACTAAAACCCAAACACCTAACCCAGACCCCTAGACCCTAAAAGCCAGCACCGTTTTGAAAAAACAGTGGCATATCAACTTTAAAAAAAAACCCTAAAAGCCCCAAGCCCAGGACGCCGGCTCCCTGGCGGTGCCTTTGGCCCAGGCTGCCCTCTGGGCCTCCTCGCTGCCGGAGCTCTCTCTTTGCAGCCTCCGGACCTTCTGAGGAGTATCTCTTTCCTTTTTTGAAACCAGGTAGTACTAATTTCTTTTTGAAACCAGGTAGTACTAATTTTTTTTGAAACTAATTAGTACTATTAATTCAGTTTCGGTTGTTGAACGCACGAAGTAGAATTGGTTCGTGCTTGCTTTCAAGGCACCGTCAACGAGCAGTGCCCGCCGGATTCCCAGCATGGTGGGCCCAATCCACTCAGTCTCCTGGAAAGAATCGAGGGTTAAGGTTGTTCGGGGTAAAGGTTTAGGACTTTAGAAAGTTTAGACCCTTAGGAAGGGCCTTTCAGGGTCTAGGGGGGTGAGGGTCTAGAGTTTTTATTTGGCCCAGTTTTCAGGCTGAATTTCGGGGCTTATCCGTTTCGTACCCCCGCAGACCCAAAGGTAATCCCAAGACCCACTCTACAAACCCTGCTTGCTACATGAAGTGAGCTTCTAAGCAATTCGACCCTCTCAACCACAGGACCTACGGCTGTTAGGTTGAGGATTTCGGACTTCAGCTCTAGGCCTCTAAGGAACCGCGGTTGAGGCTTCAGGGTATTAAGGTCTGCGGGCTAGGTTTTGTAGAAGAAGACCGGGCCCAGAATGCAGTTCTAGTCTAGACGTCGCTACTGTAACAGTATCTCTTGTGATGCCCCATACACCGAAACCCTTCTATAATTCTGAAGGCAGGCCCATACCTAAGTGCAAGATTGCTCTAGACCACTTAGTCGTCACTTTCCTCTAACCTTGCAATTCTATGTTGAATGTGTAGGTTGCAACTGTAGAGTTCAAGGTTCAAGGTTACGTTCTATGGACACAATATAGACGTCGGAATCATTGCGGGAACGAGTCCTGAGGGTTCCCGATTAGTTCGAAGTAGTGTAATGTGCCCCGCAAACCTATTCAAGTTCATAATGCCTCTATATATGAAGCGTTAGAGTCCAGGGTTTCGAAAGCTAAGCCCCAGATTCCAGCTAGGTGCCATGAATACCTGGAACTACGCCCTCAACAACTTGCGTGCGGCGCTCCGGTATTCCCAGGCTACCGATTCTCAGACCTAAACCCTGAATCCTGTTTGGGGTTCCTTATTATGATGAGTTCCCTATGCACATTGCAGTTAAGGGAGCACGGAAGCATTCAATGAACTACAACCTGTGGCTACAGAAATGAGTTTCTCTGTAACTCTCAGGGCTTTACAGGCAGGTCCGACTATTGAGGGTTTACATAAGCATCCCCCAAATGATGTGATCTTCATATGTTGGGGGTTCCTTACTACATCTTCGCGCTGTTGCGGATGGCTGAACGTGGTGTCAGGCTGGAGAACAGTGCAGCCTCTTCCGAAGTGTCATGATTCGGTGGAGCATGTTGAGGGTGCATGGCTTCAAAGGTTAAGAGTGCAGGTCAATCGAGGTGGGTGTATTGCTGATGGGATTAATGCCGAGAGTTGATTTCATGGTTTGGTCTAGGGTTTAGGGATGTTTAGGGTTTGTAGACTACACAGTAAAGCCGCAAGCCTTGAATACCAAAGCACTGCACTTCAGAATCCGTCGGTGCAGGTGGACGTGGATCCCGCCGTTCACACTGCTATTTCCCAGGCACCACACAGCTTTCTGTAGGAAATCAAAGGTTCTCTGATACTTCAGGATCTGGGGTCTCGGGTTTGGGGTGTAGGCCTAGGGTTCCCAGACTAGAGCAGATGAAGCTACGAGCCCCAGTCCCTGTCATTAGCATGCCATGTGCTAGACACCTCCCTGTCAGGTGGTTTGGCCTGAAGTTCCATGTTTCCTGTCCTAAATCCCCAGCATAGTCAGACTCATGTTTAGCGCCTCAAGCAGTGCCAGAGCTTTGCTTACTCTACCAACCTTCCCAAAAAACTTGTCCAAGCCTTAGATGAAAGCCCTAAGCCCTAAACTCTGGACCTCAAACCCATCACCTGAGCCGTGACTTTCTTCCAGGTGCTCGAAGGTATCCATGGCTTCCTAGCAATGCCGGCTCTGGCCTCTCGGCTTACAGGGAACTCCAGAAAGTTGGAATATAGATTAATGGTAGGATCCCCTATAATTTACCTTAAAGGGGTTACGATAATCATATTCCAACTTTCTGGCTTTTACCTTATTGGATTTAGGTAAGTTCAGGCCCTCCTCTAAACTCTACATCCCTCATGAACCCTCAACCCAACCCTGAACCTTAAACTCTGGATACACTAAACCCTAAGCCTTACATCTAGGGTTTCTAAACCTCCTGCGTAAACCTTGCATTCGATGCCTTCAAGCCACGATTTCTGCTTGCTTGAGCGTGAGCGGGTGTCTGATAGTTTCCGGGTGTGGTTCTTGGATCCCAGCTTCATTCATCCATGCGCAATGTCAACTTCTGTTGCACAACCGCTTTTTGCAGCTTTATCGTTCAGGGTTCAGCGTGCGCATTATCGTGATTTTTGGCTGGAAAAAGGTTCATAGTACCCTGAGAGGAACTCCCGAAGGAGCCCCAAACACCAAAACTCCGAAACCTCCCGTTTCCGAAAATATGGTACCCTAAAAAAGTACCCAAAATAAAGTACACCCATCCTAAAGCCTTAAAGCACCAGAACTCTAGAGCCTTGACTCCCTCGAAGCCAAAGTGCCGGGACCCTAGCACCTAAAGCCCTAGACCCTAAAACCCTGAACCCTAAACCCTACCAAGCCTAGAGTGCTAACCTGCAAGCATGAGCCTCCAAAAGGAGCCTAAAGCCCTCAACCCTAACCCCTAAAAACCTGAACTCGAAACCCTAAACCTCAAACTCTTCAAACCTGGACGCTAAACCCCAAACCCTACAAGCCTGAAGTGCTACCGAAAAGGCGCAGAGAACTAATCCAAGATTCGTCCTTTTTTTCTCTATATGTATATATGCTACGATTCATATCGAAAAGGAGCAGTACGCCCCGATTGTGCAGCTGGCCGCTCAGATCTTCGATGCCCTGAGGCCCGCGACGAAAGCCGAAGGCACTAAAAAACAGGCCTTTTAGAGCCTGAGCTAGTTGAGCTAGGGCTCCTTGCTTACCATGACTATACTACAATGTACCCCAGCACCCTATTCTAAGTCTTAAGGGCCCTCTATGTTAATTACTAATATTATCAGTATCAATACATTTACGGTTGTTTCTTGTCTTTGTTACATATATTATTACTACTGCTACAGTTACCCAAGGCCCCAGATCCCACACCCTAACCCTAAAAGCCCCTAAACCTACAAGCCCCACTATATTTATACATATTATATATATATATATATGTATACAAAATAATATATATATATATATATATATATATATATATATGTATGTATGTGTGTATATATATATATATATATATATATATATATATGTATGTATGTATATATATACATACATACATACAAATAAACAATATATATATATATATATATATAAATAAACCCTATATTGCGAAGACAGGCCTTGGCTCCAGCAGCAGCCACCGGTCTCCCTGCGGCTGCCCTCGAAGCCGAGCCTCTTACCTTTGGTTAGTAGGGAATGGAAGAATGGTAGTAAAAATGGTTATCATTGTACCCCATTCCTCCATACCCTACTACCCTAAACCCCAAACCCCAAACCCCATTCCTCCATTCCCTAGTAACCAAAAGTAAGTTATAGGATTCTTAAGGCCCCTATATTATAGTACCCTTATAGATCCCTTATAGTAACCCTTATAGACCTCTTTATAAGGCCCCTTTCATTCCCTACTAACCAAAAGTAAGGCCTTCCGATCCCGGCGGATGGCCGAGCTCCGGGACTCCTCGCCTTCAGGCCTCGGCTTGTTGTATGTTTTTTTTTTTTTTTTTGGGGGGGGGGGTGGGGTTAGATCCTTTTTTTCAGTTTCCCTTACTATGTTGTAGAGAACCATAATAGCAAAGGCTTGTTGTTATCTTTTAGGGTTTAGGGTTTATAGGGTTTGGGAGGGGGTTTCGGGTTCGGGGGTTTAGGGCAGTTTAGGGTTTAGAGTTTAGGGTCAAGGGTTGAGGGTTGGGGGGCTGCGGAACTCATCGGACGTGTATCATGTCATTGCTGGTGGTTTTGCATGGGCATCCACAGCACAATATAGTTTCTGTAGTGTTTCTGCTCTTTTATGTTTTGGGTTTTGGCCTTGGTTGTTCGGGGTTAAGGCTTGCATTTGAGAGTCTCTGGTAGTTTATTATGGTCCACTATATATAAGTCGGGTTCGGTTCTTGGGTCTCGTGTAAAACTGTTGGTGCACGGTTGGTTTAGCGTCATGGGCTGTGCGTGTGGTTAAGTTTCACCGTAGCAACAGGGGAAACTTCGCGGCGCATGGCATGGGCGATAGGCTGCTTGCAGCCGCAAAAAAGTTCCAGTTTTGTGCAAAACTGCAATATACTGTACTTGTACCTCCAAGCCCGAGCTGGTTCATTCAGCCGCTCCCGAAGCCCGAAGCTCCGCAACCCAAACTATGCCAAGCACATCTTGGCCTCTTGACCGGGTGTAGGATCTTGGAGGAATGTCACGAACGTGTATCTTGCAAGATCCCATCGGCGAACTTAGGTGGACGGGTAGGAGGCGCGTGGAGCTTTGGTTTCTCTTCGGGTCTGCTTAGTGAGTCGGGCACATAAAGTAGGGCTTTTCGGGCTGCTGGCTTCGAAACCCTATTCCGATGCCTTACTACATTAGGGCTTAGCGCCACATAGCCAGCGCCCCTACTACATGTCACTTATAGCTCTGGAATGCAAGCGCCATGGCAGGTTGTCCAATGGTGTGGAGATGCCAGCGATAGGCAAGGCAAGGGTTGTAGCCTCGGAATCATCAACAGGAAACCGTAGTCGAAACTTCCTTTCAAAAAGCACCTGCGGCAAGCACCTTCGACTGCACCACAATTGCAAATGCTGAAGCCTACGCCAAAAAGGACAAGCCCAACTACCAAGAAGCCAGGGTTCGAGCCTTAAGCGCTGGGCCCAAAGCCCTGGTCCTAAACCCTTAATTACTCCTAAAGCCCTCAGCTCTATAATAAGGCCCTACAAATCTCGAAATTCGACAACTTCAATTAAAGCCGCGACCTTGAACCCTGCACCGTGCCTGGCGTGAGACAGGCTTCGGAACCTGGAAGCTGGAGGGAGAGGCCTTCTCCCGAGTTGATGTTTTTGGGTTTTGGGGGTTGGCGGGGGCTACAGATCTCGATCCTTTGTTTAAGCGTATGGGGCTTTACTTTTAGGGATCTGCGGTCGAAACCTTCATGGGTCCTTGGCCTCGTCGTGCTTTGGGCGTGGTGCTCAGAATTTCAGACTCAGCGCGTGAAAGCGCAGAGATCATTAGCAAGGTTCCGATCGCCTTTTCTCAGGCTCAGAGCTTGCGGTTTGTTTAGGGTTTTTGGGTATACAGGCTGCTAAACTTCTCTTTCCACGCCTAAATCCGCATTTTTGCGCATATGTCTTGTCTTGTTCCCCGACACTCAGAGCTTGAGGGTCTTGGCTCCAGACCCTTTCATTGGACGCGTGCTGACGCTGTTCCCGACCCAGGGCTCTTTAGGCCATGTCGTCTGGCATTTACAAGTGTAGACGCGCTTGCTAAACAAACGACGTCGATCCCTGAAATTTGTGGTTTGAAGGACAAAGCAGGGCATGACAGAACAGTAAGGGCGTCTTCGGGTCTGACCAGAAATTTTGACGGAATGGCCCGTTCAGGAGCGGAGTGCCAGTTAACTGCTATGATGTTCACCACTACAACTCCCTCCTTCGGCCATCCTTTCTTTAGGGGCCAGACAGCGCTACGCCAACTGCTTGTCTCCTCGCTCTCATTTCGAGAGCTCGGTCTTTTTCCACGCTTGCGAAGAAGCCGGATGTCTTGGCTGATTAGTGGGATGTGAATTTGAATGGGCTGAACTAAAGATACAACGAAGCAGAAAAACGGGAAAGCTTAAGCCGGGACAGAAAGAATTGTTTTTCTGTCGGGTTCCTGCTGTGGCTTCGGCCTTGCGTTGCTTTGGCGAGTTGCAGCTTGCTCGAAGCACTTGAGCTGGGCCATTGACGGCGGCATCCTGACCAAGGTGACCCCTTGCTGCAAGGTCGAGACGCGCTCGTTGCCTTGCAGCAGGCGCTCACCGCTGATGATCTTGTAGCGTGCACCTAGTTAGTGGTTTCAAGAACTCGTCTTCGGCTCTGCTGCACGTGAGACCCTGACTCGAACTCCACTTCGTCTCGATGATCCCTTTCGCCACGGTGCCGAGTGCCGACGTAGGTTTTTCTGTGTTGTTAATGTTCTATATATTGGCTGGGCTTGTCATGGACTTCGCGCATCTACGTGGTCCCGGGGCGGTTCGATGCCGAAGATCCGTGCGAATGCAGAATCACCCGCTGGGCCTCAGCTTTGGAGCCGGTGCTGATCTCGTCTTCGTCGACACGGCTTGCTCTACCTTCATACTTTGAGACAAGTAAGTGACGGCTAAGATGGTCGAGCAAGCAGCTGGCTTTGGTTGCATGACAGCTGGCTTGCCTTCTTGCTGCGTAGTGCCACTTGTCATGCAAGTTGTGAGCAGCTGCTGCGGGGAACCAAATCTTCAATTGAGAGTCCGGTAGTTTCACCTGCCGTTGTGCCATGCATCGCGACAGGTTACATACCTCCCATGCCGCGAAAAGGCCGATCCCCATGATGAGAGGAAAAATGTTCAACCACTATAATAACCAACCAATGCCGACCGACCAAAAACAGAAATCCTGAACCCTAAATTCAACATCCTATAAATTGAATCCTAAATCCTCAAACCTAAACCCTGAATCTTAAACTCAGAACCCTGAATCCTGTACTATACCCGCAACCCTGGATCTTAAACCCTACACCTTAACACTACATTCGTTACATGCCCTAAATCCTAAACCATATGCCCTGACCCCTCGCCTTTAGTGAGGGGTTTAAGCTTGAGGGTGCGATCTTTTCCCCTTGCAGTTTTGAATCCTGGATTATCCCGATGCTTCTTTGAGAGGCCTGCTATCAAGCAGTGCGCCTGGCGCTCCAGCAACTTAGCTTGGATATGGTTGAACTTCAAACCTGAGAGGTCTAAGCCGGAAGTCGCGACATCCTTGCGCCCAAACCCTACAGTTGTTTTAAGCAATGTCCAAGATTTAAACTTACGGCTTGGGGTTTAGAGTAGATCGAGGGCTTAGAATGTGGGCATGGCCCGATGATACGCTGTGTTTGTGACGTGGAGACCAAAGACTACGGAGCATAAATCCTTACAGAACCCCAAAAAGTAGCGGTCTGCTTAGGACTTGTTTTTTACCGAAATACAGCCCAGAAGATCGTCTGCGAGTTTCTCTTCTAAGGGCCCGAGGGGTGTAGGGAAATCACAGTCAGTCCGGCCGGAGCCCTGCAATTGTTTCCAATCATGGTCATAGCCATTTAGTCATCGAAGCAATACCACCAGTAGCATTGTATATAAGACGAACCCACAACCCTGTGTACCTTGCAAGCCCTAAGCCCCAAACTCCACATCAAACCGTGCTCTAAACTCCCAGAGCCTCATGCTAGATCCCTACTTGCCAGACCAAAACGCCTCTATGCCCCTCTGTGTTTTGAGGCTTGGCCTTCGTCATATCGACACCGCAGAGGCGTACCAGAACGAGGCAGAAATAGGCGCGGAGCTATCCTGACATCGCCCTAAACCACAAACTAAGCTTACTAAACCTTAAACCTAAGTCTAAACCACAATCCTGAAAGCCTAAACCCTAGGGGTTGCAGCAGCGAGTCAAGTCTAGAAGCTTGAATATTCACAACAGTGTTCGTCCTTAAGATTCCTTATTCTTCTGTTCCTAGTATACTATACCCCGGCCACTAATGACTAACGCCCCTATGCTAACTCATTTTAGAGCCCTGGAAAGGATCCCTATTCTGATTATGAAGCCCCCTGCATGATTGTATCTGGAGCTTGGATGTTGGGCGTTCAGGCTTCTTGTCTTGGGCTTGAGGTTTCAAAGTTTTGTAGGGTAGGCTCTATGGGTCGCGGCGTTTAGGGGCTTAGGGTCAAGGGTTTAGGTGTTTAGGGTTAAGAACCGGTGGTTTACATACGAACCCGAAGCCCGAAAATTCGAACCCTAAAACATGCTGACGACTCCACGACAAGGCCAAGCCATCCGCGATAGCGGAATTCCGCGGGAGCAGATCTTCCTGGCGACGCCGCTCATGGCAGGTAGTGAGGGTTTAGAGTTTAGGGTGTACAGGATTTACGGTGACGGGCTTAAAGTTTAGTTTTTTGGCGGCTTTCGGGTTCCGGGATATTCGTAAGTAAGTTCCAATTGATCTTGCATGGTTGACTGTTTGTCAGGACTCTTGCATTGGGTTTCCCGGAGCCGTTCCTGCGGTTTGTTTAATCCGCTTCTGAACTTTCCGTTCGAAGTACGGGGTTTTCCGCCTTCTGAGGATGATGTGGGGAGCCGACGGGTACTGCAACAAAAACGGAAGGCAGACATGCTCAGGATTCCTGAGCCCTAATGGAGGTTGTATCGGGACCCTAATAAAGTAATTACCCTAAACAGTAGGATCCTCATTGTAAGGACCCCAAAATAGGGTACCCCGAACTTTCGGAACTCCCATATGCGGCTGCCAGCTGAGGAAGGCGACCAGCGTCGCACTGGGCATGGCCGAACCTGCGCTGCCCGACCTCAAGTCTGGGACTTTTAGGAAAGAGGGGACCCTAATATAGTACTCACATAGTAGCATTTTTATTATAAGAGCTCCAAATAAGGTACCCCTATTTTCGGAAACTCCCAAGTCGTCACTCTCTGGTTGTACCAGTTAGAATCAGTAGCAATAGTCATCATCGATGGTAATAGTGGCAATTATATACTCATAATGGGTTATAATAGTCAAAGTGGTAACATGAAGAATCATGGAGATCGCAGTTGTAAGTTACAAGCCAGGAATTTAGATCATTGTTATCCTTTGTGCCCTGAAGGTAAGGTATAGGCGCACCATAAGCTTGCAGTGTTTGGCGGTTTTTTGCATCAAGGTCTTGTTGCCACACGCCTTAGACCCTGAACCAGACTTGTTGTTCGGCTGCAGGTGCGAGTGTAGTGGTGGTGTGAGTGAGGTCCTTCCAGTGCGGACTGTCTGAGAAGGTCGACCATTTGTGCGGACGATCCCAGTTCTCGTTCTTTGTTCGCTGAGAACCATTTGTGACTACCTATCCGGGTCACACCAATCCTCGTCGTGGCGGTGGTGGTGGTGGTGGGGGTAGTAGAGTCCTCCTCGTCGGTGCTGCTGAATAGGCCATGTTTCTTGGGGCTTTGATTGAAAGACGTACTAAGAAGCCATGCCAAGAAGTGGTGTGCCCCAGTCCAGCCTGTTGCGTTCTAGTTACGCTGAGCAGAATATGTTTGCTACCTTGCAAGGTACTTAGAAGCGATCGTGGCAGGCCAGCTGCAAGCGCTGCAGACGGACTACCTGGAGACTTGCTATATGAGCACACCCTAAAACCCTTTGCCCTAAGCCCCAAGCAGTTTGGCGCTCAGGTTTATGCGGTCCAGGGTTACGGGTTGAAGCCTTCAGTGCTTTGCTCGTGGGTAAGAGTCAGGTCTTTGATGTATTCAGCGTTTGCCTTATCACCCCCACGCATTGGGTTTCGAAAGGTGTCAACATGAGCAATGATTTTGGCAAATTCAGACCAGGCGCTGTAAGCCATGACTTGTGCTGCAGTACGGCTGAAGCCAGCCCTCCTATTCAGGGTTTGTACCCACAGGCCCCAAAGTAGTTCCTTTTTGGGGTTCATATATAGAATCCTATAGGGTTGTCCCCAAAAGGAACTACTTTGGGGCCTCTGGGCACAAGAAGTGAGTCCTAAACCATAAAGCGCATCAGAGCGCCCAGAATGCCCCTGCCCTCTAATCAAAGAACATACCTGAAGTCATGAATTTGAGCCCCGTTGAGCTTAAGGTATGTTTCCTAACTACGGGGTATCAGGCTGTCCTGAGGTCTAGCTCAGCACTGAACCAAGGTACACTAGACCTGCATCGAGCTCCGCACTAGCCCGGAAGCCTAAACTGACCGCAGCAACACCCCAAGCCTCAAACTCAAAAATATGTCATCTCCTCCTTCTGAGGATGTCTACATGCTCCATGCTGCTGGTATTGCGGGGCAGAAGCTGCAAGAGGTCTGGAGGCTCCTCCGACATGTACTTGCGACTTGCCAGTTTCTGTTTAAGAGTTCAGGGCTTATAAGGTTTAAGGTTTAAGGTTTATAGGGTTTAGAAACTTTAGGGGTTACCTTGGCAAACTGTCTATTACCCTGCCATGGGTCTAGAAGGATGGTCTTTACGAGTCCTGTCCGAGGGTTTTATAAGGGTTGACCCCGTCAACCACAACCTTGAGCCGCCAAAATCATCAACTTGATTTAGGGGTTTAGGGTTTAGGGTGTAGGACCTACCCTGTCCCCAGTACAACTATGCTGGCAGGTACCCGAATTCCCGAAAGCCTCTTCGGTCCGAGGAGAGACCCTTTAGCAGGGCCTCCCTCACAGATGCTGAATACCTTATCTAGAGAAGGCCTCAGGAACGTACCAAACCCGAATACAAAGCCGCGGAAAGCCCTTTTCAAGACCCCCTGCGGAGGCCCTGAAAATGCCTTTCGACAGCTACTAGTTCAACCAT